CGCAGATATGCTGCAGCGGCGCATCGGCGCATCGGCGCAGGCGTGAGGTGCTACACTCATTGCCCCCACACTCTCTTAACCCCCCCTACCACACCAGGATCGTTGCCGGATCCGGTGAAGGTCTTGCAAGTCAGCCAGCGCAGTAACTCGGACTTCATTCCGCTCGCCAAAGCTGCCACTTGTCTGAACATGGGGCTTCGCAATAAAGAGGTGCCAGGCCCTGGGGTTGTTATTCTTCGAGGATTGGCAGAGCGACCGTCCTGTAGATGAGCATTCTCAAAACGACACGTGCATTGGCGCATGCAGCTACATGACATGTACATGGCTTCGCTTATGCGGTATAAACGCAGATGCACAAACAGGCTATCGGGATGTAGGACCCAGCAATGCCACGGAGGGGATCAAGGCCTCATTTACTCTACACCTTGTCTGTCCTTTACCTTTCCCCTAACGGTCTGTGTACCCAAATAGTATACACTTTGGCCTTGCTGTGCGTACCTATGTAGGATCCTCTTTTCAGGTCCAAGTATCCGCTACATAGGTACAAATGTAGCCTCATGTTTCGGTTCTAATTCCTATACCCTAAACCCTCAAGCCTAAACAGCAGTTGCCGGAGGTTGCGACGGAGCTAAGATGGATGCCAGCCGGAGAGGTGCTCGCAGTGGAGAGCCGGCAGCCCGAATTTAGGATCTAGGGCTCTGTATTGAAGATTGAGATTAGAGAGGGTGGAACCCAAGTTTTGTTAGAATAGTAGTAGGACTTAGTAGGTTGGTAAGTAGTTGTTTCTTGTGTATTGTTAACCGTGCTATTGTTGCGATTGTTTTTATGGTTGCTGCTGCTGTTTCTGGTTGGTAGGGTTTCGAGTACTCTTGGCGACTGCGTGTTTGACGGTGGCATAGATGTCCATGTCATACCCCCTCTTATGAACCATAACATTGCACACAAGCATCTGTCACCACCTTGACGTACGACCGCAAGCTCACGCTGTAAGCTATCTTCAGCCTACGTTCAGGAGAATACAAACTTCTCGGGAAGCATTCTCGATTCTTGGACAAAGGTCTTCTACTTGGGAAGGCAAAGAACATCCACACGCGGGTCTACAACCTGGCCCAAGCTGTGGCATTGGCATCTGACTGGCAGGCCATGTCCTGTAACCTCAACTTTCCGTCCATGTGTTGCACTGGTTTGGATATATATATATATATGTGTGTGTGTGTGTACAGTCGCACAATGAGGCAGCAGCACGTGGCATGTGAGTCTTACGCCAAGTTGTTGTTACTCTGACGAGCTCTGGCTGCAACTGAAGGCAGAGCTCAGAGTCAGGATTAGCAAAATGTTCGCATCAGTTTCTAAACCTACCCGAAGTCCTATAATCAGCATCCTATACCAGTAGCAAAAGGTTTGTCGTCGTATTCACGACAGTAGTAGCTGTAGCGGCAGTAGCAAGCAGTAGCAAGCAGCAGCGGCGGCCGCAGCAGCAGCAGCATTAATGACAGAAGTGGCAACTGCAGCAGCAGCAGGAGGAGGAGGAGCAGCAGCAGCAGTAGCTGTAGCGGTATCAGGGCAGCAGTGTATCACCGTAGCAGTGTAGCAGTCAAGCAGCGGCAGCGGCAGCGGCAGCAGCACTAGAACTAGCACTAGAACTAGCACTAGCACCAGCACTAGCACTAGCACTAGCAAGTATTAGCACTAGCACTACGAGCAGCAGCAGCAGCAGGACGAGGAGTACTAGTTACTAGTAGAGGTCGCAGTAGTGGTAGTAGTGGAAGTAGTAGTAGTAGTAGTAGTAGTAGTTGTAGTTGTAGTTGTAGTTGTTGTTGTTGTTGTGGAGGAGCACGAGTAGCAACCGGCCACACAGCCCCTGGCAGGTAAACCCTGCAGCCAGGGGTGCTCTCCGGCCATTTCGCTGCATCGCACAGGAGCGAAAGGTGGCGATGAAGGTGGACGATGCTCCAGAAGGATCCGAAGGCAAGGAACGGGGCTCTGGATTCAGGGTGTTCTCAAGGTTCCCGATATTTGAGGCTAGAGTCTGGAGGATCCAGATATGTGCTTCTCAGGCGCAAGTGGCACTGAGTCACCGTGTGTCAACAGAATCGTTGCATAAACCGCGGAGTCTTTGCAGACTGGGTTCTGCAGGTTGAACATTTTGCGCCTTCTCCCTGCGAGCCCAGACAACTCGATAGATGACCACGCAGTAAAACAGAGAGAAGCCGTAGAAAGCTCCGTACGATCATGCTTTAAACTCCCGCAAACTCTTTTAAAGCCCAGGGGCACTCGCCTGAGGCCGACATTTCGTCGAGCCGACTGCCTTGCGTTTGGTTCTGCTGGCGGAGGGCCACTCCTCCAAGTTTTGCATACAATGGTGCGTACTATGTTATGTTACAAGTTCTGTTATGTCATGGCATGATTGGTGGTATGTTGCTGTGTTTGGTTTGCCTGCTTATATATGTCATTGGTTAGATGTATGTAATATATTTAAGTTATTTTGGGTTACCATGTCGAGTTCATATTTTGTGGCTGGCATTCTGGTGGTTGGGTTCAGTAGCCTTGGATGTGTTTCGGGCCTCCACGTTGATGGTTCAACGATAGGTTCGAAGTACATCGGTGGCTTCAACCTCGCTGTTGGTGAGTGTACCAAAGCTTGCTTGGAGCTTCGACGAGATAAATACACACATAACATATACATACACACACATATATATATATTTATATTTATATTTATTTGTTTGTTTATTTGTTTACTTATACATAGAATAGTCTAGATGTCCTAGATTGGCAGGTCTGAGCCCTGACGCCCAAGCCCTACATGTCAGTCGCTGAGGTAGGGATTTGTGCCGGTGCTTTCGGAATACATTTTTGTTGCGTAGGGAACCATTCAAAAGGAAAGTCGCTGGCCACAAGGAAAGGTATTCCACCCGAACCCCTGAAACCCCAAACCAGGCCAGCCCCCACCCCGGCCCGATGGCAGCGCTGGCGTGCGGCGTGCGCAGAGTACGGACGGCTGAACTGAGCCTCGAAAATTTCGAGCTGTTGTGCGGGTTAAGGGCTTTGGGGTTTATAGGGTTTAAAGTCGGTTAAAGCTTCCTGTAAGACTTTTAAAGGGTTTCAGGGATCCAGGGTTGAAGTTTACAAGAGAGCTCATAGGCTCATGGGCTCCAACTAGACAGCACGTGGGGCTTGCAAGGGTCAGCTTCCATGGCGATGTTTAGACGTACACGTTCACGCGCCGGAGGCGGAACTTTAGCGTTTCCGCCCTCACGGCTTCTGTCTAAGGCTTGTCGGTAGGCTTCATTGCTAAGCATTATTTGGCAGAAAAAGCTTGGGCAGTTCTGTGCCAATGTCCTTCCGAGGAAAGCCACATGTAATCGACCCTGAACCCAGCATCTTCAACACCAAGTGAGGAGGACAGGAAACCACAGCCTTAAATCCGAATGCCACCCCTCAAGTACCCCCTACACCTGAATCAGAAGCCAAACCTATACACCCGAAACCCTATTTCCCCCCAATCTTTTTTTTTTATAACCCACATGAGCAAGGAAACGTCGGCAACCCAAGCTTGTGCGGCATTGACGGCTCGAGACAAGGGGCACCGCTTTCGAAGCCATGAGCTGAAACCCGGCCAGCACAACTGCTGCCAATGCATACCTTTCAACGATGTCTTGCTGAAGATGATACGGTTGTTACATGAGCAATCCTTACCTATACCACGATATGCAAGTAGCCATAAAGTAGCATTACTACAAGGACCCGAAGGTAATAAAAAAAAAGAGGTACTTATGGCCTTGCCCTCGAGGGTTTCTCCCTGTTTCTACGTCCAGCAGCTGTGATTTTCTTGGACTTTGGGGGCGCTATGTCAGGAAGTCCGGGAGCCCTCAGCCGGGAGCTCCAGAGTTTAGGGTTCATGGGGTTTAGGGTTACTGTTTAGGGCTTATGGGGTTTAGGGTTACTGTTTAGGGCTTATGGGGTTTAGGGTTACTGTTTAGGGTTTTATAGTGTTTAGGGTTACTGTTTAGGGTTTAGGGTTTAGGCTTACTGTTTAGGGTTTAGGGTTACTGTTTAGGGTTTAGGGTTTAGGGTTACTGTTTAGGGTTTAGGGTTATTGTTTAGGGTTTAGGGTTTCGCGCTTATTCACGGAAGTTGTTAGGTTTCCGGGGACGGTTAGTACGTCAGTGCTTGTGTCAATCTTGCGGTGGACGGCGTGCTGGCAAGGTTGTCCTTCGGCCTGCTTATTGCGGCACGATTTCTTTTCTCCCGCCCCACGCCGTTCATGAAGCGGCGCACCACCCAGCCTGCTTATTGCGGCACGATTTCTTTTCTCCCGCCCCACGCCGTTCATGAAGCGGCGCACCACCCAGACCTACTCCTTTTGGGGTTTAACACCTAATAAACTCCTTTTTATCACTGTCATAACACACAATGTCCGAAACAGTTATCGACTGAGCCTTGAAGTAGGGTTTGGGGTGGGGTGTGAGATTTGGGCGTAGGGTCTTACTCATAGAGACCCCGGTAGATAGGATAAAGAGTTGTGGGCTCAGCTTGCATCGTCCGTCAGGGTCAACAGAATTGAGCTTTGGCATCACGGCTTCCCTGCTCTGCTTTCTGCCTTATTCCCAGGCCCTCGAACCAACACCTACTTGTAAAACATGAAAGGTTTAATATGCAGGTCGACATATATAGCTCAGATACAACACAGTATCCGCACAGTCCGAAGATACTATTATTATACCCAAAATCAAAACCCCACTCTAACCCAAAAAGGCCCTACATAAGGGTTCGATTCCAAGCACTCTCACATCTGGCAAGCCCCTCGATCATGGAGGGGTTTGAAGCACTTAAGGGCTTAGGGTTTAAGGGTTTAGACGTTTAGGGTTTAGGGTTTAGGGTTTGGGTGGTTCTCCGAGTTTGAATTTGTGAGTGTGACGTACACTTCTGCGGGGATCCAAGGCCAGATCCTACAAAACACCAAGTCAAGTCGTTGTACAACTCGCTGGATGCCAGATGCGGAGCTTGGTCCCTGAACCTAAACCGTCAAGCCCCTTACAGTAAACCCCGTAAAGTTGGAACTTCAAGTCCCATTAAAACCCAAACCCCTAAACCCCGAAACCCTTCCACACCCTAAATCCCAAAAAAAACCCGGACAGTACAGGTGAATGTCTTAGATTTTCAGCCTGAGGCCTTAGCAAAGCTTCGAGCCTGGAGCCCAAAACCCTGAGCCCCACGTTCTAAACCCTTATAAACCCTACCTGGACCCCAAAAAGAAGATGGACTAACAGCCGTTTTAATAGGTGCTGGGCCATTCTTCTACCTAGTTTTGGGGGGTTTAGGTAAACCCCTAAACCCCTAAACCCTAAACCCCAATGCCAAAGCCCAAAGTCCTGAACTGCGAGCTTTGACCCTGAAACCCTCGGCTTCCCGGCTCAGGTTATTGAATTTCTGGGCTCCTCAACTCTCCTGGTTTAGGATTTTGGGGTTTAGGCTTTAGGGTTTAGGGGCTTAGGGCTGGAGCTACGTGATCTGAGCCTGGGGTCCTCGGTTCCCGAGGCCCCAAGCTCAACATTGCGGACTTGAAGGGAAAGGCCGGGTTTCAGGGTTTTGCCAGTTTTTTGATACAGGGTTTAGGGTTTCGGGGTTTAGGGTGGTTTTCGCAAGGCTTTCAGAGTTTCGGGGTTACCACATGCGTTGAAGGGCCATGGAGTTCACGGATTTTTGGGGTTCTTGGGGTTACAGGGTTTCGGCTTTCAGGGGCTTAGCGTGTCGCACATTTCTTCTGTTGTCGATTGCATGTATTTGTTTCCCGTGTCACTTCTCGTGGTTCCCTCCACTGCCCCTTGGTCAAGGAGTGTATCCTAAATCAAAGCAAGCGGCCCTTGAGCATTGAAGAATACTCCTTAGTCGAGGCATGTTGCACCAACTTACACTACTTAAGAGGACATAAGTTAAGGAAGATTCCTTCATTTTAAAGAACAAGAGTTTTTACTAATAATAATAACAATAAGAAGAAGAAGAATAGTAACAAAAATAAGAACAATAGTAGTAACAATAAGACTATTACTCTTAATAATAACAATAATAAGAACAATATTAATAATAATACTAATAAGAATATTAATAAATATAGATAATGTAGTATTAGTAAGAATAGTAGTAATTTGGTAGTAATAATAATAACAATGATAATAATAATGTACTGTATATTCCTGGCCCAAGGGCTTTAAAAGCCAATGAGTCGCTCCAGGTGGCGATCATCTCGGGAGCTACGCGTGGCATAGGAAAGGCCGAACCTAGGGATCCGGGGTTAGGGTGTTTAGGGTTTAGGGTGTTTAGAGTTAGGGTGTTTAGGGTTTAGGGCGTTTAGGGTTAGGGTGTTTAGGGTTTAGGGCGTTTAGGGTTAGGGTGTTTAGGGTTAAGGTGTTTAGGGTTAAGGCGTTTAGGGTTTAGGGTTAGGGTGTTTAGGGTTTAGGGTGAGGGAGTTTAGGGTTTAGGGTTAGGGCGTTTAGGGTTAGGGTGTTTAGGGTTAAGGTGTTTAGGGTCAGGGTGTTTGGGGTTAAGGCGTTAGGGTTTAGGGTTAGGGAGTTTAGGGTGTAGGGTTAGGGCGTTTAGGGTTAGGGTGTTTAGGGTTAAGGTGTTTAGGGTCAGGGTGTTTGGGGTTAAGGCGTTTAGGGTTTAGGGTTAGGGTGTTTAGGGTTTAGGGTTAGGGAGTTTAGGGTTTAGGGTTAGGGCGTTTAGGGTTAGGGTGTTTAGGGTTAAGGTGTTTAGGGTCAGGGTGTTTAGGGTTAAGGCGTTTAGGGTTTAGGGTTAGGGTGTTTAGGGTTTAGGGTTAGGGAGTTTAGGGTTTGGGGTTAGGGTGTTTAGGGTTTGGGGGTTGGGGTTTGAGGACGGATCCCAATCCAAGCTGGATTCCACCCTTGCTCGCAGGTCCTGAGTTTGGCTGCATTTAGTGTAAGGCGTGGGGCTTTGGGTGAGGGGTGGAGCTTACAGTACCTGTAGTCTCCATTGTGGTTCCTTTTGGGGGATACCTTATAAAATCCTTAATATATAATTGGTTAAACCAAAAAAAGGAACTACAATGGAGACTATAGGTAGTTCAAGCTTCAGACCGGAAGACTGAAACCTTAGACGCCAAGGAACCCGAATGAAAGCCCAAAGCCCGAAGCCTCCCGATGCCAAACCTGTAAGTCCTGTCCTTAAACCTTAAACCCTAAACCCGAACCCTGAAGCACCTGTTCCCGAAGCCCTTGAACCCTCGAATCCCCGATCGCTCCCTGCCTGGAGCTTGCAACTTCAATCTCAGTCGAACACAGGGAGTTGAGTTCGGACTTTAGGGCCTTTAGGGTTTAAGGGTTTAGGGTTTCAGTCGAACACAGAAGTTTAATGAGGACTTTAGGGCCCTTAGGGTTTAAGGGTTACCAGGCAGGTGAGTAATCTGTTCGAAGCTCCAAGAGGCCTAAAACTCTCGGGCCCCGCGTTCTGACTCCCCGCAACTAAAACTCGGGCTTAGGGTTTGGGGTAATGAGTCGGATGCACTTCAGCTTCGGATTAGATGCTTTCGGAGGTTTGAGCCTTCAGATCGTTTCTGGCCTGGGGTACAGCTTGACCCACTTCAGTGCTCGGAATAATGAGCTAGTTCTTCCTCACATTTCCTGGATATCACTATATAGAAACTACAATATACCCCAATGCAGTATTCTGCGTTTTTTAGGGCCCTTACCTAAAGACCCCAGCTCGAGACATCCTATTGCGCGATATGGGATGCCAGAGGTATGCAGGGACAGGACTCACTGATCTTGGCCTTAAATTTCGGATGTTGAGGAAGGGACTCAATTGAGAGGATCCCGTCATCATCAATTTAGGGTGTAGGGGTTTAGTGCCATTTTGCTACGAGGCATGCGCAGTTGCTTTGGCGAAGCAGGCATGGGCTGTTCTGCCTGGTCACTGGGCTTTCGGAGTTCGGGTCTTCGGCTGTTTGGTTTTCCTGTTGAGGGCGTTAGAATGTAAAGATGTTGCATTCTGTTACGTTGTTGAGCCTAAGATGAGTAGTTAAGATGTGCTGAATTTTTGGAGAATACCGGTGGGGATGCGAGAGCCACTGTGCACTTTTACGGTCGTTTTGGGAGCATGGCGTGCAGAGGGCTCAACACTGCTCCGACTGCACCAGAAACGCCCAACTGCAATGCCCCGAAGGTCAAGACATATGTCAACTTGACCAATCCCGCAACATCCAGCCGTACTGCCTGAAAGCCTTCATTGACAAGTCCGATCATCAACCTTTAGAGCATTTTAGCTCTAGCCCCACATCCTGAACCACAAGTTCCATCTAATCCTTGCCCCAGTGCAAAGCAGCATCCCGAGTCCTTGCTCCCTCCGGTGCTCCAGCAATGTCTACGCTCTAATTAGACCATCATTGCCTAGTCCTGCTGCCCAGCATGGATCTCCATGGTAGCGGGCAGTCCAGCCAGCATTCCAGGCCATACCTCAATAACCCCAAATAGCCTACCGTTTTAAGAACTTATATAATAGATAAGTAGATCACATTAAGGAACCCTAGAAAGGTAGGTTCTTTAGGGTCCAGGTATTTTTCGTATTGAAAAGGATCGAGCCATCAGAGTCTGGGGCCTGCCCAGGGCTGCAACATCGTGGTTGCAGCCAAGACGACCACTCCGCAGCCGACTTTGCCAGGTGCCAGGGTGTTGAGTTGGAAAGATCCGGCAACGCCGAATCGACATTTATGAGGCAGAACGAGAAAAGAGCTACGGAGAGCGGTGAGAAGAGGAAGAACAGTCAGCATATTGCTGATAATGTTTTACATGAGGGCCTTCCCGTGCCCCTACCTTACACTGCTCTGTTCTGGCTTTCACTGTTGCCCTCCATATGTTGTATGTTCTTCGTGATTAAATAGAATTTAGAAGTTGTGGGGCGTGCTGGATAAACCAACATTCGTCGTTCATACTTGTAGCCGAGCTAGGACACGACTAGACACTAGGAAGAGTGGCACAAACGTGGCAGAGTCGGAAGCCCGGCACCTTACTTCTTAGTGTTCCTTCAGCGCTTGTTTTCAGCAGCGGCCCAAACCGACCTCACGGCCTCGAGCATGCTACCCAGCTACAAATCGTACCGGAGATTCTGTTGCCGAGCGCTGCTCGTGCACATGCTCACCTGCAGGCACGATCTATTCCGTTGCAGAGGACCGACTACCCTGCTTTCAGCCCGTAGGGTTGGGGGTCGGCCTGTGTTGCCAAGATCGTGAGCTTTTCGAGGTATTCCATAGGACCTGGTTCGGTGCATTTCCGGCATTCTGTTGCCTCGCCGAGCGCCCCTCATTTGCTCTCCTGCGTGCCTTGCTCAAAGAAATGCGCACTCCTATGCTCTTGGGGTCTAGAAATATATACGAGGGGCCCCATACGATAACAGGTTGGAGTTGTGTGGCTTCTAGAGGCCAGTGACCCTCAATCCACCGAATCCCAAAGCCATAGGAGCTTTTGATGTAACAAATGAAGATTTTCGATTTCACTTGCATCCAGCCACAGGTCTGGCAGCCAAGACTCAGAGCTATGATTTAGCGTTCGGAGGCGTGTAGCACAAGCCGTCGTGAAGTACTTGGGACCGTTGGATCCTTGATATCTGCGGCCGGTCAATCTGAACGAGCCGAGTGCCCTGATTGGCAGTCATGTTGTTCGGACATACATATTCACATGCAGATGTCCTATGAACGCTCCCCGGTTCGGCAACTATAATCGCACACTCTCAAACAGACAGACGGGCACTCAGCTGATGGCTTCAAGCGTCACCCTTTTGTGCGCGGGTCTTCAGTGGGCTCGCCTCACGAAGTTGTCTAGTACAGGTTAAACTTGGTTGGTCCTCTCGGAAAGTACGGTAGCGGCTTTTGGTGTAGATTGGCTTTCACCGGATCACGACAAGGCCAAGGGAAGGTTGACACTGGCTCTGTCGTAGAACAGCCAGAAGGTCATGTTAACAGCGGCTGATTAAACCCCATACTCCAATCCGAACAAAATTCAAGTCCAGTGGAGACCTGTTTAAGCAGGAGCTCGAGCAGATGGGTGTGCAGGCTTTGCCGGTCAAGGTTCGTCACGGACAAGCAAGCCCTATCATGCCGTAGGCAAAGGATTTCCAGGTATTTGCTAAACGAACATCCTGAAGTATCTAAAGCGCGCTGTAGCTTTCTGTCTGACAACTCTGCATTCGAGTTGCTCATCCTCCACCCAGTCAGTGTGGCTCCTTATCCTGAACTCTAAACCCATTCCACGTACACCATGCTCCAAACTCTGCAGGCCCCATTTGCCCACGCCCGGAATTCAAGATCCTACAACGCTGCACCTGGCATTCGATGTCAGATGAAAGTGTCCTCAAGAGGGTTATGGTTTGGGATGCAGATGTACGCCTTTTCAGGGTCCGAGATAGACACACTTCGGGGCTCTGGGGTCCGAATGCCGCGTTTACACGATTGAACTACCGGCAAAAAGGTTTGTGGTCTCGGGTGTAGAAGCCATCAGTAGTGTAAGTAGTGACTAAGTAGTGCTGGTGCTAGAAGAGATGTTAGCAAAATACACACCCGAAAGAACAAGGGCCGGACGGCACTGCTCGCGGCTAGCAACTGCAACTTCGGCATGGTTTTCGCGCTTTTCTCCCTATTTTCTCCTGAACGAAGGTGGACATGCGCAGCCTGGACGACGTCAAGGAGTGCGTGCGCCAGACAGCCATGAGCTTAGAGCATCGTCACTGCCCCTGGACCGCTCAGGGCCCTGCACATCGAAAATCCTTCGCTTAGGGTTCAGGGTTCAAGGTTAGGGTTTGGGTTTAAGGTTTAGGGTTAAGTTCCGGGATAATTAAGGGGTTTAAAATTTAGTGTATCCCCCCCCCCCCAACAGACAGGACTTGAGGCCTCTTGGTAGGGTTGGCTTAGGACATCTGTCATTGTCCTAAGCGGATGCTAAGGGGACTTCTGGAAGGTGAGACCTGGGACGTGCCGACTTTGAACCTCCAATTTGGTTTCTCTGTACATTCCTTATAAAATGATCGAGTCACAGACCCAACAGTCCAAACATAAAGCTGTAATAGACCTTACCGCCCAGAAGCTGGAGGTGAACAAGTTCGGCCGCATTGACATCCTCATTAACAATGCCAGCGCGCTGTGGTGGCAGAGGACAAACCCGGTTCAGGCTTTACTGTGGATATTCAGCATTCGCAAAAGATGCATAACTAGCTTGCATGCTGGTGCTCCGGACAGTGTCCCGAGTCATGTGTGTCGTTCCGAAGGATAGAGGACACGCCCATGAACAAGTACGATCTCATCACGCAGATCAATACGCCGGGTGCCGAGATAGGTGCACCGTCAGTGAAGGTCCAAGCTACGCTGAAGCGCATTTGAAATTTGTCCTGTGACGACGATGTCATTATTTATTGCAGCCGTCCCAGAACTAGCAAAAATATCCTAGGCGCCGGACCACTCATGCTAAACTTGAGCTCCTACACGGAAGCGGCGCAAGCAGCCTTGTTGTCAGAGATATCCAAATAAGAGAATGGGGAGGCATCAGGATCCGATGCGCCCCAGAAAGACTATGACATAATGCCATCCCAGGGCCAAGTGTCTAAACGGCCCTTTTGGCTCCAAATCCGGGCAGGTGCCATAGTTGGGAGGGCTCCTTGAATCGTCTAGTTCGGTCTAGGAGAGCCTTCAAATCCTTGAGCCTGAGCTCTAAGCGAACTCCAGCCATCATGTCCACGGGCCTGAGAATCCTGGACCCCAATCCCTCAGCCCCGTTGCACCTTCTCAAATCCGTCTGAAACCGTTTTTGTCTGATTGGAGTAGGGTTCCTTAAACCCTAAAAACCCCTACACTCCTAAACCCCTAATGGGGCCCTTAAGGCGAGGGAGCTTCGCTTTGACACACCTGTGCCTGCCCATCATGGCGAAGAACGGGTGCGCGCGGTTTCGGGTGCGTTCATGGTTGGGATCATGCTGCAGCTAGGGCCGGGGCTATGATTCGGAAGCCTGAAGTAGGACCGTCAGGACAAGGTTGCAGAGTTTTTACAGGGTTTGGAGTCGGAGTGTGGGAGAAGTACGTATGCAGATTCAGGACTTTGCTGAGCGGGGCTCGGTAGGGTTGCGTGTTACGGGCTTGAGGCTGGAAGGTTAAGGCAGCTTCAGCCCCGCAGGAAAGCCCAAACGTCTAAGACCCGAGAGCCAAACGCGCCCCCTTGGAATTCAGGAAGGCGAGCATGAAGGCTCAAGCAGGTCCGTGCCCTTTACTTTCATCTCCACTGTCCACAGTCGTGGATGGCGGCTGTATAGTGTACCTTAACCAAACATAGAGCCTACGTTGTTGTAGGGTGATCTTTAGCCAGCCAGACCTACTTGTTGGATAGAGTTTTGTTAGTTGACGAAATCTGCCCCAAAGTGCTGATTATCATCAGGTTGACTAGGTAGGCCTTAGGAGTGCAGACTCGAGACTCTCGAACACATCAAGGAAAAAGGGACACTACAAGCTGTGTTCTTCCTTGTGTAGGTGCATCTGTTGTACTTAAGTAACTTAACTGGTTAAGAGCCTCAAGCTACGTGGGCATTTTGGTAGGACAGTTATGCAAAGCCTCTCGCCGCCATAGTGCCCCTCCATATTTCCATACCGCACACCCGCCTTGAGGTTGTGCTTGAAATTGCGACACAGGTGCCCCAGGCCCTCCACTAATTTAGCAAAGAGCCAGAGCCAGGCTCGATATCCTTTTTTCTCTGCCCGTCACTGTTGGCTTGTGCCTTGAGCGTGCGCTTGTTGCTCGCTGGGCTCGAATGCTTCAGCTTGGCGTACAGCCACGAAAACATCGTGTTCTCGGCTGGCCATGCATCTGGACTAAACCCGTTTAAAACTCGACACGTTCGCGGAATGACTGAAGATGCTGTTGGCTAAAGCCCTCGAGCTGAATCGCAAGGAGCGCTTGCTGAGAAACCGTTGCCCCCCTGACTCTGTCGACGCTGAACCTTCTACTCAGCATTGCTACGAGGACCCACCGTGAAGGCAAGACTCCAAGCATGTGAGGTCTTTCGACAAAGGCCTGCGCAGCACCCCCGAACTCCCCCTTGACCATTGAGGTGTTTTGGGTCAGTCACCTGAGCCTCGCTCGGCAATCCTTCTGAAGTCAGCGCTCATCGGTGATGTTGGGATCCAGTGCGGCCTGTAACCACCTCAGAATGAGCGCCTCGCCTGACTTATCAATGCTTCCGAATTGGGTCAGGACCCCGTTCTTCCATGATCTAAACCCGGCAGCTGAAGTCGATAAAGCAGGGAGCGGAGGTCTTTGATGTGATACGTGGTTTCTTCATAATCATCATCTTCAGGAACCTCGACAACGGGACCATGTTCTACCCCATCTTCGTTGTCTCCTTCTTCATGGTTGGAACCAATGTCTAAGATATCTGGTGGGGCAGGAGGATGCCTACCTGGAGGAGGCTTGGGTGTTGAGAACAACGGAACCCTTCGTCCGCGGAGGCGGAGAGGGAAGACCAACCCCAGTGAAAACAGGCAACCTCGGTGCGCGGTTAAACCCGTAAGGATTCGGTTCAGAAGCAGTGACAGTCTCTGTAAACATGTCCATGTGTGACGGTGCCTGAGGGTGTGCTACTGGATCTGTCGGGCACTGCTCTTCGACCTACCTTTCTTCTTGGGCTTGGCAGCCTTAGGACATCTTAGAACTGACAATCTCCCTCAACTCCCGCATCGTTTCTCATACACTAACCGCCAGTGCCTTGAGGGCTTTGCTGATGTCGGCGCCATTTGGGCCTTGACCCCCGAGGCCTGTGACATTTTCGCTGCGCGAACGTGGGAGGTGTCGGTTTGGGCTTGAGGCTGAACTTTCATACTTTGCATGTCTGCTTGAATGATTGAAATTCTTTGCATCATATCCTTTTGCTGTTCTTCCAACTCATGATTCCTAGCTTTGAGTGCTGCGATGGTTGCGCTGGCCTGTGCAAGGTGCTTTCCGGCCTCTTGGGACACAAACCGTACCTGCATCTGTGTTCAAAGGCCCTGGACGGTTCACTGTCCTTAGCTCAATTTGTGCTCCGGCCTGCCCGGCCATTGTCACTCCTTGCTTGTTGCATCTCAAGGGCAACCAACCTAGAAAGGGATGGTTTTACCATGCATGGATTGCTGATAGTGGTGCAGGGACATCGTTAGAGAGTCGGGAGCTTCAAGAACAAGGGATTCCCGAAGATGCCTTCAACAACATCACCGAGCAAGCGACAACAGTGTCGTTCTCCACAGGGAATGGTGTCGTTGACTCAGGTTTGATGCTAGGCTTTGAGGGTTCGCTTCTTGGGAGTAATTCCGCATATCTTTTGGACAAGTGTCCGAGTGTTAAATCACTTGGTGAATTGGTAGAGAAAAGTCTAGGCCATTTATCTGGTTGCCGGGCAAGCTTGAGAATGTTCTTACTAGACGCAGAACATGTTCAGGTCATTGAAGATAACGCCATTTTCACTGATCGAGTTGAGGGTTCGGTTCGTTGCCCCATCAACAGTAGCTCTCCCTGGACTTTTAAGTGACGTGCGAAAGGCAAAGCCTCTCCCAACTCCTAGTTAGGCCTTCACCAAATACCACTGAGGATTCTACTTTGTACGAGCTCGCCATCGACTGAGATGTTCGTTCCAAAACCGCTGCAGGTTCGAGGAACGCCGATCCAGATCCCGAGGAGCCTCCAAAGGTAGCTGCAAAGTTGGCCTCAGGTAGAAGGTCTAGAGGTAAGGTGAAAGCATCTAAGGCCAAGAGTAAAGATGTGGCAAAGCCACCCATTGCTGGTGAAGAATCCGTCGTAGGTGAAGATGCTCTTGATGCTGATGCTGAGCCACCTCCCCCTCCGCCAAAACATCCGCCTGCAATCCCAGCAGATTCTAGTGCTGAAGCAGAAGAGATCACTTCTGAGCGTCAGAAGAAGCTCATAAAAGAAGCATCATCGATGGAGCATCAACTGACTCACATCCCGAAGAACCCCTCAGGACGCTAGAAGAGTCCACGAGGGCACTACATGTAGCCGCCGGGTTTCATGTTGTTCCGGACTTATGGCCGATATCCGTCCAATTCGCTGCTCACACGCTCGCGGTCGTGCCGTGGAAAGACAAAGCTCAATCTCGCTTCGAGTTAGGCACTGTCGCATCCACGATCTGGCTCGCAGGCATAAGTTCGGGGTCTCCACTGCTCCAGGACTGTTTGCAGGATGGCGATTTGAACATGGGTTTGTTTGCGTACAGGGGTCTTGTCTTCGTCCTAGACTATTAAGCTGTCAAGACCCAAGCTCTGGGATATCGAGACGCGACCCCCGTGCTTTTTGCAGAAGCTCAAAGTTTTCACAGACCCAAAACTTCATGAGATCACAGCTGTTGACATCCCATTCAGCTCAATTGCACCTCCTGATCCTCCGAGAAAGAGGGTCGAACACATAATCTTAGAACGCATCTTACGCCTGGAGGCCTGGATGCAAGGCATGTACATTCGATTCAGCCACACACAGTCCTGTGTGTAGAGCACGGTTCGATGCTTTGACCAAGCCTGATCGCATTGCAAAGACACCGGCGCAGCCAAAGCACTTCACCAGTGAAGCAGCTCTTGATCCCAGTGATGATGCATCGGCGCCGCCAGCTGATGATGCTCCGGCTGTGCTCCCTGAAGGAGTTGGCTTCCACCCTCCAGGTGAGCACGCTGTTGAAGGTCTAGTCGCGAAGGCAGAACAATGCATTAGTCACGTAGATGCGTACCGCGAACGGGTGCATCAGCGAAAGCTGCAAACTCTGAGCGGCATTGATGTGCTGTTCGAGTACACTGGAAAGGAGAGCTCTGTACTTGCTAACACTGCTGCAGAGCTAGGTGTCCAGAGCATTGTGCTGGATAGGAAGACAATTGATTTGTCCATAAATAGAGGCCTATGCTGATCATGCTTGTGGTCAGGTTGAAGCATTGCCAGGCTGTGACTTGTGGTTCTCGTGTTCACCGGTGGAATTGTGCGCTAAGCAGTACATTCGGTCAATAATGAAGGTTTAGAGACAATGCTCGATTTGCCGTTGCGTTGTCAAGCTGTGACCAGATTGCATGACAATCCGATTGGGTTGCATTCGACGCATGTCATGGCCTTCAAAAGGTTACCGTTGCTGGCCGAGTGCTATCACGGTTGGATCGACAGAGTTCGGTTTTCCGTTATGGTGGTCATCAAAGAAATGGACCAGTGTTGCCAGAAGCACACCTGAGGCAGAAGCAATGGCCATGGCGTCGGCCATGTTTGGCGAAGCCTTAAATGTGCAAACGATGTTGGAGCATTTGCTGGACAAGCCATAGACGTTGTGTTTCATCAGGACAACGACACACTACTGAATTCTTAGCGGCAGGTTATTCGGATAAACTTCGGCATACCAATAGGGTTCACCGAGTTAACATAGGCTCCATGTCCGAACAATTGCAGGGTCCACGCGTTTCTGCTGAGTACTGCCGAAGCGAGCTTCAGAACGCAAACGGGCTGACAAAGATTTTCCCGACAGCAGAGTGGCCACACACCATGACACAGTTTGGCATGACAGCGTTTGGCGATGGTTTAATTTAGATGCCGTCGTTGCTAGTCCAACCGACCATAGCATTCCTGCTGAGATCTTTACTGCAAGCTGCTCGAAAATCCTTTCCAAGCAACACGGTCATATGCCGGTTTATCCGACATTACATACCAGAGCATCAGTTCTCAAGTATTGTCTTGCAGCACGGTGTTGTAACAGGTCTTCATCGTGACTCAAACAACGCAGAGGGATCTAAGAACCTGTTAGTGTCGCTCAGTCCAGTCATTGTCCAGTGCAAGGGCCCGTCCTTTGGGTTGAAGAGGACGGCGGAGAGACTCAACGTCCGCTAAATGGCGATGCATGGGGAACCACGTTGTGCAGTCCTGCTCTCTTCAATCCACGTGCTCGTCACTGCAAGGTAGTGTCCGAAGGCGATGCCACAGGACAGGTTCGTCGTTACCGCATACCTGATTCGACATCACGAGCGTTGAGTCCGCCTGATCGTGCAACGCTGCTCCAGCTTGGTTTCAACTTTTCCACAATGAGATAAGCATCGAGTTTCACCGTTCTGACTCCTAAAAGGGGAAGTTGACGAAATCCGCTCCAAAGTGCTGATTATCATCATGTTGACTAGGTAGGTCAAAGGAGTGCAGACTCGGAGACTCTCGGACGCATTTGGCTGAAGGAAAAAGGGACACTGCAAGTTGTGTTCTTCCTTATTTGCGTGCATCTGTTGTACTTAACTTTGTTTCATTCTATACTGGTGTTATTTTTCATCTGTCCATACAAGTATACCCTTTTCACATACATAGATGTGTGTGGGATACGTGTACACATTGGTTTATATGTGTAGCTGGAAACCTTCCACAGAACGTGGGCTAAGGTATGCACGATCCATTTTATGCTTGATTTCTTGGCAATGGGCCTTGGGTGTCCTGATATGCGTGACCCTTCTACACATGTCCTATTTCGAAGAACGCTAGGACTATTGTTTTGCATAGCCTGTTCTTGTTGTTATTTCGATTGTGGCCGTTATTCCTGCCATCACCAGCACCGCCACGACGAACACGACCGCTACTGCTAATCCTGGTACAGCAGAACAACATCTGGTCCTCGGGAACAGTGCAAAGCCCCAGGGAAACCAGCTTGAATCAGCAGCCCTAAACCGCAAGAGAACTTTTGGCTGCGACAGGTTCGGGCGCGTGATCTGCATCTCGGCCTTAAGAACGAGAACAGCTCTTTTGGTTTATGGTGGATGCGGCGGGTCCGTTCTGCTTCGACGGCCCAAAGCTGTCTGTGTGTGTGTGTGTGTTGTGTGTGTGTTGCTGTTGTGTTGACACAGGTAGGGTGAAAGCAGCAGGCAGTTGGAGAACCTCGAGGCTAGTCTCCCCAAAGCCCTATAACCCCTACAACTTATACAACCCCCACCCCCACAAAAGCAGACCGCACTGTGTTCTCTTGGTGATTTGGCTGCACTGGGAGGTTGTCGCAGGAGACCAAAACACCTGCAGGGTTTAGGATTTAGGGCGAATCCTGATCTTGCATCCTATTGGTTGCATGCCTTCGGCACTAAATCCTGAGCTGCATACGCTCTGAATCGGAGTAGCCGCCCAACATCGTCCAACAGAAGCCTACAAGTCCCGAAGCCTTAGTGCACGAAGCTCCGAAGTCTGAAGACCCTTATTCCCCGGCCCTGGCCAACCCTCCAAACAACCTCTGTCCTCACTCATCGTCTAGGCATGAGCCCACCTATCCAGACGGACTTTCGGGCGTCTGGGGCCCAGCACCAGCAGTTGGTTCGGACGAACTCCGATCTCTGAAAGTGTGGAGGAGTCACCGACTAACTCCTAACTTTAGGCCCGATGCAAAGGCTTAAACCCTAGCCCGTCGGAAGCGGGTCCAAAAATGGGAACCTGAACCCGGAGATGCAAAGCTGCAAAGCTTGATCAGTGTCCCAAAGGCCTGAACTCCCCAAGATCTGCTTTGGGCTTCAGGGTTTTGGCAGGCTTTCTTTTTGGGGTATGTTTGTCAGGGGTTTGGGGTTTTACTCATTTTGGGAGTGTATACCATGTTCGCGTGCTCAGTTCTGAGCTCATGAACTCTACATTGCACAAGAGGTACAAGGGCTTCACTGCTTACAACATCTCCAAGTTCGGCATGACGATGGCTCGGAGCTCATCTGCCCCACACCTGCTTTGTGGAAAATCTCTATTCGATTGGTTTCGGTTGACCTCCAGTTCCAGCATGCCCAGGCAGGGGATTGCATAAGAGTCAGACCCCAGCATTGTCAGGCAAGCAAGAAAGTGCATGCCATTACCTCATGTAATTTCGAATACCGCAGCGTTTGTTACCAAGCCTGGAGACGGAAGGACCCTGAACCCTCCTATGTTCTGCACCGGATGTCTGCCGGCAAGGGCATCTGAGCACTTGAGGGGCCCTGAGCTACTGGCCGTGGCACCTGAGCCACCGACAGCCCCCGACTTGAGTCCGCTGGCGCCGTTCCAATGTCCGATTCTTAGCGCCTTATTCAAAGCCTCACTGTAACCCGCACGGCAAGTACCATGAATCTAAAACCGTTTCTACCCCATGAAGAGCAGTAAGGTCCGATTTGCTTTGAGTCCTTCGCTTGGCAGTCTGGGAACGTGATAACAGTCCCATGCCCGCGTGCACATCGTTTCTGCCGATTGTGCTTGACCCAACATGCAGCTGCACAGCGTTTTCCTCGCTGTCCCGGGGAGGGTTGCAGGCAAATGCTTCCCACGAACAAGGTGTTTAAGCCCTACAATCCCTCTGAGCCCTAAGTCCTCCCTAACTCCCTCAAGCCCTAAATCGAGCCGATACTCCGCCTCAACACTAAAGAACCTCCCTATACACCTGTCAGCCCTGATACGCATGAAAGAAGAGCAGGCATGAGCTGTCAGACGAGGAGCTCGTTGATATTTGTGGCGACTTGGATCAAGCTGCAAGCTCCTGGTTGGATTGTCTGCAGAGTTTATAAGGGAGTTCATAGTCTCATCAGTGTTTGGGGTTTAGAGTCTAGGAGTGCTTCTTCTGTTGCTGTTGTGGCTTGGAGTTGATGAGGGAGCCCAGAAGCCGCCAAGGTGAAGACTCCGTGACTGTTCTAAGCTTCCGCGAAGAGCTGCTATTGAAAGCTGTTTTTGGCCTCGGGGACGTGGTCCATTGCCCGAATCCCTGCTGCAGGTCCATCTTAAGCGGCTCGGAGATACTGGACTACGACTTCTTTGTTTTAAGCGTGGAGGTTTTGGGAGGCGCCTGGGGTCTCGAGGCAGCATGCTGCTGACTCGATCAGAGGTGTGGGGGCCATGAGCGCTTATTTTGGGTGTATGTATGTATGCATGCATGCCTGCATACAGACGTAATATTACATACCACAAAACACAAACTCTTCTACACCAGTCTCATCTGTAAGTATGCAGTTGATGTGATGGTAGAGACCAGTAAGGTGTGGAGCCCGGAAGTGGCAGGCAGCGTGTGGAATGTTGTAACTGGCCTGCATGGTGTACTCAGTGCAGGCAACCCTATCACTATGCGGTGGACTGCCAGGATGTTCAAGCTCTCCGTGACCAGTGGCTACAGTGGGTGTCCCACGGGCGCGCAGTGTACAACGAAACGAGAGCTCAACACGCAGAGTTCGAACGTCAGAAGCAAGCCCTAGAAGAGGCGGCTGCGCGCCATGTTGAGTTGAAGCATGATGAGGAGTGGAAGCAGGCGAACTGTCGAGAGTGTCCCCGATGCCGACGCGTTGTCCAAAAGATCGATGCCAGCTTCAAGCCTGCTTTTCTTGACCGAGAGGTAAACCCATTATCCGTAGTCACTATCTGTAGCATCGACCAACACAGCTGACCCACTTCTTAGTTTCTTTAACCCTGCGACTCCTAGGACGGTTGCAACAGCATGGTCTGCGGCGAAGATACCCATGGCGGCAACCGCCAGCAGGGTTGTGGGCATCGCTTCCAGTGGGATAAAGCACGCGCATACCAAGCAGCTCCAGACTCGCGCCCCCTGCCTCGGTTGGATGTACAAGATGTGAAAGTACGAGGAGCCGGAATTCGGCATCCATTTTGCCGATGCTCGAGATGCCGGCAGGACATTGTGGGGCCACGTTTCCGATGCATCCACTGCCCCGACTACAACCTCTGCGCCAGCTGCGACAGCGATGCCGCTGTAGCGCAGGACTAAACCCTAAACCCTAAAACCCTAAACCCTAAAACCCCTAAACCCTAAACCCCTAAACCCTAAACCCTAAAAGGACCACCCAGCCTCACATGTCTTCCAGATCCTCTTTCAGCCGGAGTATGATCTCCGAGCACATCTGCCGGTGCCTGGGACCACTTGGAGACTACCTGTAGTCTCCATTGTAGTTCCTTTTTGGGAGATACCTTATAAAATCCTTAATATATAATTGGTTAAACCAAGAAAAGGATCTACAATGGAGACTATAGGTAGGTTCTCGGCTCCTAGGTGTGCCCCTAACGCGACACTAGACATCACTGTTCCCTCGGTAAGCTCTAGACATGGTTAAGGCCCCAGCGAACCGGGACCACGGCGTTTAGGCTTTGGCAGACAATCTAGCTACGTAATGGTGCTCGTACAAGTATGTCAGCAGGAGCTGTCGTCCAATGCAGTCCGACAGCCCTAGCCCTGTAAAAGATAACACCAGGTAGGGTCCCGCATCGTCATCGCCGACGGCTCGGAACGTCAGGGCTTCGAGGCAACTGTGCAGCACGAGATCTGCCAGGAATCCCCGTCTTGTGGCCCAAGCGCTTTAAGTTTACAATTCCGGATGTCAGGCTATCGTTGACCTACTTTGGGGCATTTCGGGTTTAGTGCAGGCAATTCCTGAAAGCTCTATCTATGTACAGGATCAATATTCGGGACTTGCGATTTGGTTGGCCTTCTCGAGCAGATGCCCCAAACGCCTCGGCTGCGGCTTCCGCCAGGGGTTCATGGGGTGGATCCGGCATCGTCTCCACACTTCCCAGGAAGTCCTCAAGCCCTAAACCCCTATAAACCCTAAACCCTATAACGTGAAAGACACCTCGTCACAAGCGCAATCAAAGTCTCGCTCTTAGCTCTGGGCCTCTGTACAATCCACTCTCCTTAGGTTGCGGAGTTGGGGTCTTTGCTGCTCCGTCGCCCCTATGGAACTTCAAATTTAAAGAGCCCTTAACAGGACAGCCCCTGATAAACCCTTTCGAACGCTGGCAGAACCCGTACGGGACAAAGCCCTGCTAGGATGTCTTCTTGGTCGAAGTCTTCTCCGATGGCACTTTTCAGCAGCTTCACCGATCCGGCCTTCAGCTAAAACTAGACAGTGCTCAGGCCATCGAGCGGCACATTCAGGAGGGAGCAGACATGTTTTGCAAGGTTTGAGGTTTTAGGCTTTGCTGCAGGCTTAGGGGTTTAGTGAAGGTCTTGCAAAGTTGGGCTTTACTTTAAGGTTTCGGATTTGAGGTTAACCTCAAGTCAAAGCTGATTGCTGAGTTCATGTGCAGGAGCAGCTCCAAGCGCAAGCCAGCTTCCAGCTCCGGAAGGAGGCATGACTTCCATGTTTGTTGCACATGTGAACGAAGTGTATAGTGGACTTAAGATTTTGGTGGTCATGTACCCTATATTCTGCATTCTTGACATGTACCCTCATCAACACACTATCGTACGCAAGGTTCCCGGCACCCTATAACCTGTATACGACCCCTTGTCACCACCCACAAGGTAGCCAGGGGATCGCCATTTCGTCGACCCCACGCATGGAGTTCCTTTTTGATGCCTCACTTGCTTCCAGGTTTAGAGAGCTTAGGGCCGGAAGGTTCGGGGACTGAAGGAGTTTGGCTTCGGCATAAATCCCCTCATAAGCCGCAATAAGAGTTTCGAAAAATCGTGGCTTTCTAGCAGCACTAAGTCGTAGGATCCGGGACACCCCATATCATCAGAATCATCCTTCCATAGCTGTGACACCCGGTGACGGAGAAGCCCGAAGCCTTAAAGCTTAAACCCTCAACCGTGTGAGGGTTAGCAAACCTTAAACCCTAAACCCTAAACTTGACCCTAAACCCCTAAACCCTAAACCCCTATACCCTAACCAACCTTCAGCTCGGATAGCGGTGTCCGGCCAGGAGAGGCGGCTTCAAGCAATCCGGGAGATGCGGCAAGGGGCAACGTGCTCTCTCCAGTGATCTGCAGGTCGGGGGTTTAGGGTTTAGGGTTGAGGGTTTAGGGCTTAGGGTGTGTATCCGGGGGTCTGTAGGGCTTAGGATTTTGGAGTTTGGGGTTTTAAGGTGTTGGGCCTGGGTTTGGGATTTGAGCTTCAAGGTTTTACATAGAATCTTGAGCTTGCCAGTTTTACGCTGCAGGTTGTTGGTTTTTGGGCGTTGTTTTCTTTCACAGTTCTGACCATTAACTACGGAGTTTGGGATTTTGGGCTTGGGTCACTGGTACAAGCGTCTTCATTTGGAGGGTATAGAGGGTTTCTCGAAACGAAAGTCTGACTGCCGCCTCAGAAAAGCATGACAGTTTCTGAAAGAGACCTTCACTGTTAGGCTATGCTTCAGGGTGAGCTTTCGGGTGGTTGCGGTAACCTCTATCTCCATCCTCTGATTTCCAGGTCGCTAGATGCAAACGGTTGGATCCACAGCCCGACCCTGGCTCTGCAGGAGACGCTTACTTCCACATGCAGCCGAGTGCGTCTCCCAAGTTTGTTTAAATCGATTCTGTAGGATTGTAGGCACCCCGGAAGAACAATTTGAAGCGTGGAAGGATCGGGATTTCGATGGACATCCAGGACATGCGCACTCCACTGTGCCGAGGTTCTCGAACCCCTTAAAAGCCTTAGACCCGCTGAAGCATTACTGCTCTCGACCTTCCAAGCAAGATGGGCGCCCCTGGTCGCCGGCGACATGCAGATGCCAGCCTTCAGGGGAGGTAAATTAAATGGCTTACAACGAGCCGCAACAGCCCCTCGAATTGAACAGCCGTTGGAGGCTCTTCTACCATCCGGTGGTGTGTACGATAATAGGCAAGCCCTATAAACTCTAATCTTCTGAATTTAGAAGAACCTCCACCCGGCATCATTTACGGAGCAAGCGGCTCTCTGTCCTCCGAAGGCTCATGAGATCTTTGCGCCTGTATAGGGAGGCAACAGGTTCATCAATAACGGTGGCACCCTTGTCGCCTCATTTCAGGGTCGCATCGAATCTCTGGGTCTCTGGAGTCATGCCTCCTTGGCTCCGAAAGCAGTGCCGCACCTGGGATCCTCAACAAAATTATAGAACATAGGGGGTTTTAGGGGTTTCGGGTTTAGGATGCGTCAGGCTTAGCGCTGTACAGTTTAGGGATTTGGGCAGTTCCCAGGTGCGGAGTTTTGGACTGCGCGCCTAGGGTTGATAGGTGAGTTCTGGGCCAGGAGCTAAGCGGAGAGGCTCGGGCTCGGCCTGTCGTGGGTATGTTTCGGGTTTTGGGTTTGTCTATCGGGATTAAAATCCCGGGTTTAGGGTTCATAAGGCCCATGCGCACGAATCAGAGACAGGCTCTAGGCAAGAAGCTGTAAACACATGGGCCCAGCGAAGCATATCCCCACATGGCTGTACAGCAGTTGTCGGGAGGCACGCTTAAAAGAGAAACCATCCCTGCGTGTTTTTTCGGATGCCCGGGCTTAAGATATCCAAATATCTATACTGTATGACCACACATTTAGGGTTTAGCTTTCTCTATGCTCTATGACCCCAGCTTCCCTGACCTCATGGAAGCAGCTAGCAGTTGAGGGTTTCAGGGAGCCTGCACGTCGCGGAAGATAATCTAGTCAATTGCCATGCGGGGTTGCCAAGGGCCTTGACTCTATACGGTTCGATTGCTTGGCTTTCTCGGCGGGTCGCCCGAGGCTCATTATGGTTATTTCTGGTTTATGCCTGATTGCTATTACCATGGTCATCATAGTCATCATCATCATCGTCACCATCATCATCATCATCGTCTTCATAGTCATCGCCATCACCGTCATCATCATCAACGTCGTCATCATCATCATCGTCATCATCATCATCATCATCATCATCATCAGCGTCATCATCCTCATCATCATCATCGGGCATTTAGGGTTTAGGGTTTGTAAGGGCCAGTTATGGTTTGCAAAGGTTCAGCTGATTAAGTTGAGTTCCAGTGTCTTTCAGATTTGGCTTAGGAGGTCAAGGCCCTTGCTGCAGCGAAAGTGGGAGTCGTGCGCCAGGATGTTGTGCTCGGCGCTGCAGCTTCACCTGTTGTGCAGTGAGAGCACGGCTTCAGCCTATGCGGTTATTGCTCTCGAGTAGCAACTCTCCCAAACCCCACTTATATCCTCGACCCTTAACCCGAAACCCAGTTAGCCCCACTAGAAGCCCAGAAGAGCGGACCATATAAACCCTAGACCATCCCGGAGCACATCCCCTAAACAGCCTGTGCATTTTGCAAGCTAAGTCCGCTTTGGGAGCTGCTGCCGAGTACGAAGGCATGAGCCTAAGTGGGGGGCCGGTGTGGTTCTTGGCTAGAGGATACTTCCATGAGAACCATGATGCGGGCTATTGGGGTTATGATATATCATATCTTGCCGCTTATTTCTTGTAGTCAGCATCATGATAGGTTGCCCTTTCTTGTTACCCCGCACTGAAATATAAGACTGTATATTCTTGTCGTGACGATGGTGTCTTCCTCCCGCTCCCTCCCTCCGCCTCGCTCCCTCCGTTCCCTACCGCCCTCCCCTTTGCTCCCTCTTTCTCTCTCTTGCTCGCTCGCTCGCTCTCTCTCTCTCTCTCTCTCCCGCTCTCCCTCTCTTTATCTCTCTCTGTTTCTCCCTCTCTCTCCCTCCCTCGCCGCTCACTCCTTTCTGACGCAAACTGTCTAGGAGCTTAGATACACTAAACCCTGAGCCCTCGGCCCTAGAGCCATAAAGGTCAGGGCATCACCGGAAACTCCCTGTGGCCGGCCACGGTGATCGAGAGTCAGGTCGGCACAGTAGAAGAAATCGGGGAGGGCGCGGAATGCTGTCTAACATGGACGGGGGGGGTGGGTTAGGGTTTAGGGCCTAATTTAGGGTTTAGGGTTTAGGGTTATCTCCAGAAACCCCTAAAGCCTTAAACCGCTAAAC